AAACCTTGCCACGCAAAACCAACACACTGGCCTTGCACAGGGATTTTCAAGTTGTGGTCGGTAAAGCTGAGAGCTGGTAGGCATAAGGTTTATCTACCTATTCAAAGAAAAGCAGAGCTATTGTAACTTAAACATTGTCATACAAATGACTGTCCTTTTCTTGGTAAATATCTGGATCAACTTGGAGAAAAGACTCCCAAAAATCTCTCTCCTGGCAGATGGGATCTGTGGAAGCCAGTCTCTGCACTTTTATGATCTCTCAACCTTTCATCTGGGAAACTACCCCAATAGTAACTCACGCCCCTATGGAAAGGAGAGTAATAACCCCAGCCTGGAAAGGCAGCAACTTCAACACCAGTGACAACTAAAATGACACTCAAATCTGTTAACTATGTGCAGCACTAACTTGCTCTTTCTTCTCCAAATAGATTTTTCTAACACTTAAATGAGCTGCATACTATTGACTAATTGTCTTTTGTGGTCTTTGAGGATTCAGGCATAACTATTCCATCTAAACAACTCATTGGAGGATTTTTATATGCCTTAGGTGGACGAAAAGGCTCAGTAAAGCCAAAGCCTGGGATATAAACTCAAATCCTCCCTAATCAAATATGTATCCTTTGATCTAATAAGTAGGTTGAGTCTCGCCTGACTTTTCAGCAAAATGAAAAAGAAAATGTAATGCTTTTTTTTTTTTTTTTAAATGAGTTGTTATACTTGAATAACTTGGATGTCTGATTGCTTTTGGTTTCCAAGACAGTCAACTGCTTTGCTAAAAAATTTTCTTAATGGTATCAACTATGGAATTAGTATCAGATATTTTTGTTTGTTGTATATTTAATGACATACACATGTATGTGCACCCATACTTGTTCACAATGGTGGTGTGTTAGCTAAGTTGATAATAGCATCTACTACAAATTACTGATTACTGGATATGAAAAAATAATTATCAAAATATAGGTCACTACTTAGGATGCAGCATTTCCTTGCTGTTGGTTGCTACGTCAGCAAGGTGGCTGGTGTGCCCATTTTAACTAAGTTGTAGGCTTTATAGTTTGAAGAATGGAATATGTCATGAAAGCACAGATTCATTTTTTCTGTCTCTATCTTATCAGGGGAACAGTGATTACTTTTGCTTCTATGGGAAAGGCTGCCTGTCGAGCCTGTGTTTTCATTCATGCACTCAGCACAGTGGAGATGAAATTGCTGGGAAAGATAACTAAAAGCCACTTGTGTTACCTTACTATTGGAAAAATGCCAGATGATGTAATCTGCTAAAGTAATATGAGATCAGATCACCTGGATACTCAGCATCTGCTCTGTTCTCAGAATTGTGCTACCTTCCCTTTCCCCCCATTTTCCCCTCTCTTGTCTGCCTTACACTTGTTAGAAGGCCATGTGTTTGCTCTTTAGCCTGATCTCCTTTCTTTTTTTTTTAAAAAAAAAAAAACATGGAAAAGTCTTCTGCGGTGCATGTAGTGTGTTTTGATGCTGTGTCTCTCTTTGTTCTGAGATAAAGTTCTGATAAGAAGCTGTGTAAGAGTAGGCATTTTTAGCTTGACCCTGGGCCCAAGGGTAATTTCTGACTAGTTGATGTCAATTTGCAGTTCCTGAGATCATTTTAAGGCTTTTATGTTAAAACAAACCTGAAAAAAAAGGCATTCTTGTCATGCCTGTGTTTTGTGTGCTTTCCAGACAAAGCCGTAAATCCAGCTTGGCGTGCAGAGGAAGGGCAGGCTGCTGGCACAAAACTCTGCCAAGTCTCCCGCAAAAGGCTCGTCAACCTCGGCTCACTTTTAAAAGGACGTGGGCCAAGTCTCAGGTTCTGCTGCAGGAGGCTTGCACATCTCGTTCTGGCTTGAAACAGTATCCAAGGCTTGAGGCTGGGATATCTGTGGCTGTTCATTAGGCATGTTTACCTTTTAAGTCTCTGCTGAACTTGCCTTCCAGCTGGAAGCCTTGTCCTCAGACTGGTCAGATAAATTTGTTCCTAGGAATATTCATCGCAGACTTTCCTTTAGTGAATTTGCTTAGTGGATGCCTCCAACTTCACAGGCTGTATTGCTTGACAAGTAATGGGTTGTAAGCCCTGTTGGCTGAAAACGTTGGCATTTTTCATCAAATAATAATTAATTGCTAAAGCTTTATTATTCAGCCACCTTTGCTCAAGTATTACTTTGCACAAAGTGGATGCTACCTTGCTCTGTTATGAGGGCAGGACTAAGTAGGTTTGCTTTATGACTGTCAGCGATGCAGAGTGGTAAACGTGATACTGCCCCATTTCCACCAAAACAAATTACCGTGTTATAAACCATGAATAGACACAAGAATGTACTCTTGTGTTTAAGAAGCACTAATAACTGAATTGATACCCAAAACAGCATGGAAGGAGACTGCGAAATATTGGACACTGTTTTCTGGGAAAAAAAATAAATTTAAAATTTATTTCTCATTGTTTATTTCTTTAAGGCCTTAATCCACTCATTGAGAAGATGTGTAGCTTATGTTGTACTGGCATATATGGCATAAAATCTTTCTAGCTAAATTCTTCTCTCCTGATAGATTGCAAGGTAGTGAAAGTCTTTTCCTTGGGCTCCTTCCCTCTAGTAGATTTTAGTCAAATGCAAAATATTTTGCAAAAAACCCTTAATGTCAATGTCTTCCCCACGTTGTTAAGTGGAAAGGGGGCACTGGATGATCAGAGGCTGATGTTAATGTGCTGAGTTGTTCATGCTACCCACAGGAAAGGGAATTAAAGAGATTCTGATTCAGCCCACTCGATTTTTCTGGGTGTGCACTGGGAGCAATGAGGCTTCCAAGCTCCTTTACTATGAATATATATTGCACTGTATATTTTCAGGGCAATGAAAAGATTTATTTAGCATATGGCTGACCTAGATTGTCATCACTGGCTCAATTGACCTTTATTGCCTTGGGAGAGTGGTAAGATTAGGAGATGCTATAAATAGCTGTTGCACAGTGGGAGTGGTATCACAAAAATGCACTTTACACAAACAGACTGTCATTTCACTTTATGGGGGATGAGTATATTTGGCTTACAAAAGGAGATGTCTCCTTGAGATGGTTTTGTCCTCTTCTGAATCACTGCAGCTGAAGCTGTGAGATTGTTTTGGCCACCACCATCAGGTGTTAAATATACAATGTTCTCCTGGTTTCAGCTGGGATGGAGTTAATTTTCTTCCTAGTAGCTGGTATAGTGCTGGGTTTTGGATTTAGGATGAGAATAATGTTGATAACACACTGATATTTTAGTTGTTGACAAGCAGTCAAGGACTTTTCGGTTTCTTGTACTGCCCTGCCAACGAGAAGGCAGGAAGCACCCAAGAAGCTGGGAGGGGACACATCCAGGGCAGCTGACCCAAACTGGCCAAAGGGTTATGCCATACCATACGATGTCATGTCCAGTGTATAACTGAAGGCTGGCCAGGAGGTTTGGCTCAGGAACTAGCTGAGCATTAGCTCTGAGTGATGAACAATTGTGCTGTGCATCACTTGTTGTATATTCTTTTGTCACTATTATTAATCTTCCTCTTCTGTCCTAGTAAACTGTCTTTATCTCAACCCATGAGTTTTACCTTTATTTCTTTTTGATTCTCTCCCCCATCCCACTGTGGGGGCGGGGGAGTGACCAAACAGCTGCGTGGTTGTTTTAGCTGCCTGCCAGGTTAAACCATGACGAAAGCAATAATGTTATGAAACTTTATGAAACCTACTGTCCAAGTGCAGCTGAGCGTTGCATCAGCAGTGTACTCCGCTTCCTTCCACCTCATACCTCACTGTTCGAGGCTGCTCTGGCAGGGCTGGGTGCTGCTGGGGAAACGGGCAGTGGATATGCTGTTGGCACTTGTGGAGCTCCAGGAGTGTTTCTGGTCACCATCTGTGACTTTTGAAGGAGGCCGTATCTATGCCTCAAGAGCTGTAAGAATGATTTTGGACCAAAGAGATAGATTTGAAATACAAGTGGAAAGAAGCTGTAATACCTTGAGGGATGCTGATATGATCAAAAAAGGTAGTAGTGTATGACTTCCCTTTCTAAGTGGTGTCCCCATGTCTTCTTTTATGTAGTCTGATGCTGAATGGATGACTTTTCCCAGCCTATAAATGAAGTAAAAGCAACAGATGTTGTGCTTTTTATATAAAGTCATATTTCATTCCTCCAATAAAGGCCATTTGGAATTATGCATAAATTGATTCAGTAGTTCAGCTGGAATGTAAGGAATAGGTGTAACAAATGAGGACTCCACTGAAACTGGCAAATGGAACCATATGTAGTCCACTGGATTTGATATTTCAGCTTAGTGCCAGATGAGTAACTGATCTTCATTAAACAGTAATTTTCAGTGATCAGATTACTTTATTCTTTTCCTAAACTGCTTTAGCAGGAGATGGCATTTGAGCACCGTTTCACCCAAGATGAAATTAGATGCTGTACTGCTTCTTCTGATTTCTGGAGAAGGGTGGGGTGGATAATTCTTTTGGGTAATTATATTGGATATACACTCCATTTATTTGTTTTTTTTTGTTTGTTTTTGTTTTTTTTGTTTTGTTTTTTTTTTTTCTTTTCAATTTGCAGGAAAGCAATCTCCAGGTCAGGCCTCCAGCACTTGGCTCCTGTGCATTCCCTCAACATTGCAGTCTCCAATGGACCTGTGAAGGAACCAAGGGCGGCCTTAGAGTGGACTGTAGGTGTTTGGTTTTTTGGCAGTTAATTTGAGCAGTATCTCTGGCTAGTGCTCTTTCCATCCTGAACTCAACGTAAGACATTGCATTGCTATCAGAATTAGTGCTGGTCAATAGGAACATGCTTCTATTATGAAAAAAAGCACAAGGCAGAGACATGAAAACTTGTGGAGACTTGAGCAGAACAGGACAGAACTGTTCGGATTTTCCAGCTTGGGAACCACCTGGTTACATTTTTTCCTGCCTTCTTGACAAGGTCTGCTATTCAAAGGTGATCTGATTCTAGCACAGCACAGTTTTGTACCTCTGCTTGATGGGCCAAAATTTAAGGCTGAAGACACATGTTGAGCTGGCTGGATCTGTAGAGTAGGTAGTAGAAATCTTTGGTCGCAATACTTTGTAGCTATGGGTAGATTTCTTCTGAGCCCAAACTGGGTTGTAGACACAGAGAGCATATGTTTCCATCCCCTCCATCTTGCTTCTCCTACTTATGTTTCTGGGCTGACTCAGAAGTGGTCAGTTTAGGACTGTCTAGAATAGACTAGACTATATCAGTTGGAAGGGACCTACAACGATCATCTGGTCCAACCGCCTGACCACTTCAGGGCTGACCAAAAGTTAAAGCATGTTATTAAGAGCATTGTCCAAATGCCTCTTAAATGCTGACAGGCTTGGGGCATTGACCACCTTTATAAGAAGCCTGTTCCAGTGTTTGACCACCTTCTCTGTATAGAAATGTTTCATAATGTCAAGTCTGAACTCCGCTGACACAGCTTTGAACCATTCCCGTGCATGTTCCATGTGGTTACGCACTGGTATGTGCTAAGGACTCAAGCTTTAAGCCAGCAGGTCACATTAACATCCCATTTAAAGAAGTATCAAGGCACCAGCCACCCAATTGGCTTTTAGGTGAAGGTAACTTACATTTTGATGAATAAGGCTTATGTTTATCTCTGATTTTCTATATGGCATGCTCTGCTTCAACCCCAGCTATTGCATTTAAAGTTCAAGGGGATGAAATGTTACAGGCTGTGCTGCAGGAAGCTGGATTAGATTTACTGTGTTCTTCTACAGTATTGTATTTTAACAAAGAGTGTTAAAATGAGTTTGAAATCTTACATGGAATCCTCTTGGAGGAGCTTTGTAGAATACCTTGATCTTTCCCTCCAGGAAAACTCAGGTCCTGATTCGGCACGGTATTAAAACACGTCTGCTTTGAGTCATCAATGTTGTTTAGTAGAAATCTGAAGGATCAGTCAACTACGTCAGGGGTTAGACACAGGCTAAATTAAACACTTTTCAAAATTGTACTTAGAAAACAACAACAGCAGCAACAAAACCCCAAAACAAAAAACCTAAACCCCAAACCCAACAACCACAGCTTACCCTTCTTCAAAGTTAATTGCTGCTCATTTTATCATGTGGTTGCTCACGTGATTCCAGGACATAAATACTGCAGGACTTTATAGGTTGGTGAATATTGATTATAGATTTTGGGTTTTAATTGTGTGTGTGGTTTCTTTGCACTTCCTGGCTTATGGTTTAGATTTTTGATCAGTTTCACACTCTCAGATTGGTGTTGCTGATTTACTGCTTGTTGCTCTTCTCCTTTGATTGGAGAAGGAGGCAATGCCATGGCATGTGGGGAAGGGGCAGGATAGTGAGTGGAAGACATATGTGTCTGGGAGGAGCCTGAACTGACCAGCTGTAATAACTGGTGAATGTGGGGGAGAAAGGGATTTCTCAAATCTGCGGCACAGTATAAGTAAACGAGATAATAAGGGAGGTGATTTGGAGGTGTGCAGAAGCTGAAACAGACCAAAGTTTATAATAGGTAGTGAAGGTCAATTAAAAAACCCTGAAGTTTTGAATACTGATATTTAATTCCAGAGGTGTATTTGGTAGTTTGGATTAAGATGTATTGGAGCCAGACAGAAAGTCTCCATATTTAACCACTAGAAGGCAGCATTAATCAGTGCATGTCGCATCCCCATCTATATCATCCCGCTCTTCAGTGTTTCTGAGGTTGATTCTCCAAGGACTCATGACGGGAGACCTTTCCAAAGTCTAAGTGACACGAACATAAGTTGTCACTTGACTTTGCAGTAGAAAATGTTTCCTCCTTGTTATCTTCACAGTAATAACTGGAGAGAATTCCCTGGCTATAGTCTCCACTTTTGATAACTCCTTGCAGGTGATTTGCCATTATCAGATGATCTTGTGAACAGGACACTGATTTGGGGAGTGGGATTTCCATTCCCTGCTCTGCCACTTACCTTGTGAGCAAGCTCAGATAAATTGTTTTGCTACTCAGTACGTTAGCCGCTCTAGCTGTAAAATGGAGCTGATGATTCTGATGTCTCTTAAGACCCTTTACGTAAGAAACAGTATTGCTTTATTAATGTTGTTGTTACTATCTACCACCCCTGAGGTTTCTTTTCTCTCACGTTCTTACAAATACCCAGTTTCATCACATTTGCTACAAATTCAAATTAACTAGTAGCTTTATCTAATTTAATGCTATCTTTTCACAGCAGGGCCATACAGAATATATCCTCTGGAGTAGGTGATACTATAGCCAGAGGGCAACGCAGAATATGCCTTACCAAAAAGGAATCACCTTAACTGCTTGTCCCTGTGATATGTTTATGCATAGCCTCTTCTGCCACTCTTACAAGTTAAAAGATAAAGTAAGCAATTCTAGGCCAGATTCTAAAGTACAGAGCCACCTCATACAGTGCCTGCATACCATTATGGGTCTAGCTCTTTGTATATTTTCATATTGCCATTTGCTCCCAAGGAAAACAACCATAAGCTTTTGTGCAAAGTCATCCTGTAATTTCCTTTTAAGTATTGCCTTCTAGCTTTTGCTTTCTTTGGTGCCTACAAAAATCCTGACAGCCACCTAGGATATTAGTGTGTTGAGCTTCCCACTGGCCAAAATTCTCTCATTATTTTATTTGTCCATCATGCATTTGTCTGTTGATGCCACTTACTTGCCTTCTCATTAGTAGGCATTTATGGCCCATGACTACAAGCTTTAGAACTCTGATTATGTCCATTAAGAAGCATTTGAAGACACACAGCTTCCATTCTTGGAGTTCAGTGAAAAAACTTGGGACTGATCTGTGCTTTGTGTTCTGTGAATGCACAGAGTACTCTGGGTGCAAGATGAATGTTCTTCAGAGGAGAAATATTACGACTTTATAACATAAATGATATGTATTAAAGACACAAAAAAATCTTATGGATCTTATAAGAATAGAAAACTATGCATTTGAGTAGATGTTGAAAACTGGCATTTGTGGTGCCAGTTTCATAGGTTTTACTTTTACCTGCTGCTATAAAATTAGTTGGTTGAGAGGACCTATTCAGTTGCATAGGATATTTTAGCATGCAGGAAAAAGTTGTTCTTTATACTTTCTACTAAATATCAGAAGATTGCAGGGCTATGATCTCACTGAGATCACAGAGACATAGTACAATAGCACATGTGGCTGGAGTGGCACAATGGATAGATATGGACTTTTTAGAAAGGGCAAGGCCAGGATGGTGAGGAGGGAGGGGGAGTTATCCTTCATATATGAGAGAAGCAGGAGTGCTTGAAGGTCTGCTGTGGAATGGACAATGAGCCTATGAAGAGCTATGGATCAAGATCAGAGGGCAAACCAACATAGGCAACATTGTTGTGGGTGTCTGCTACGGATACTTTGTTCAGGAAGAGGTAGAAGATGAGGCCTTATTCAGACAACTGGAAGCAGCCTTGTGTTTGCTGGCCCTGATATTTATGTGGACAACATGAACCATCCTGATATCTGCTGAAGGAACAACTGGGCACAATCAACCCAGGGGACTTCTGGAATGCATTGATGAGAACTTCCTGGCAAGTGATCGAGGAGCTGATGAGGGGAGATGCTCTGCTGGATCTCATACTTATGAACAAGGAAGAACTGGTGGGGAACGTGAAGATCAGGGCAGACTTGCCCACAGTAATGATGAGGCAAACAGCAGGATTATATCCCTGGACTTCAAGAGAGCAGACTTTGACCTGTTCAAGGGACTGTTTGGGAACGTAACGTGATATGCCTCTGAAGAGAAAAGGGCTCCAGGACAACTAGTTGATAATCAAAGATCACCTCTTCAGTATTTGAGAACAGTCCATTATCACATGCAGTACGTCAAGCAAAAGCATCCGGAAGTCTGCATGGATGCATAAGTAGCTCCAGACAAAACTCAAATATTTTAACACACCCTCCCCCTCCAAATAAAAACCCAAAACCCTCACACCCAAACCCAAACAAATCCCCCCCGCCAATACAACAGGTGGAAGCAGGGTCAGGCCAGCCAGGAGGATTGTAGAGGGCACTACCTAATTTCACAGGGATGGGGTAAGGAAAGCCAGAGCCAATCTGGAGTTGAATCTGACATGAACATGAAGGGCAGCAAGAATGGTTTATGTAGGCATATCAACAGCAGTAGGAGCACTAGGAAAAATGTTAGGTGACTGCTGAAAGGGGCAGGGGATTTGGTGGCAGAGGACACGGAAAAATCAATGTGCCTAATGCCTGTTTTACTTCCATTTTTACTGGTAAGATGCACCTTCAGGAATCCCAGGCCCCTGACACCAGTGGCTGAAGCAAGAAAGACTTACCTTTTGTAGAGGATGATCAGGTTAGGGAACATTTAAACAGACTGAACATACAGAAGTCCATGGGACCTGATGAGATGCATGCTGATATCATTGCAAGGCCAGACTGTGGTCTTTGAAAGGTCATAATCATCAGAGGAGGTTCATGAGGACTGCAAGAAAGCAGATGTCAATCCTGTCTTCAAGAAGTGCAAAGAGGAGGATCCACTGATCAGCCTCACCTTGATTCCTAGGAAGGTGATGGAGGAAACCCTTCTGGAAGCCATTTCCAAAAATATTAAGGATAAGAAAGTGATTGAGAGTAGTCGGCATGGCCTTATGGAGGGGACATCGTGCCTGACCAACCTGACAACC